GCTTTCAGAATAAAATATTTTAACGCTAACTTTTCACATGAGAGAGAACAGGTGAGTGGAGAAAGGCTGCCAATACAGCCAAAAACCTAGCCTCAAATGCATACTTTGCTGCTAATGCAATGACTGATTTTCTCCTTAAATTCTGACACTCTATTTCTTTATCAGTACCATATATTTTTATGCAAATAACATGCACTTTACATGTTTGTTTGCAAACTGCTCCTGCCCTCCTTGGAAGTGTTTTTGAAAATGCTATTACACCCTTACACTCAGTTTAAAAACCAAACCAAACCAAAACGTGTTGCCATGGAATAAATAAGTACAACATATTGTGATAACAGCATATAGTTCACAAAAATAGCCCCTGGTGGGAGGGAGCAGTTAGCAAGCAAAGGTGGAAGGTGTGTATTATCTGCATAAACTGCATAAAGATATCGTACAGTTTCCAGTTGTGAGATTTACACCTAATCTCTTCATGAACCCTGGTGTTCAAGGAATAATAGCTACTAAAATTCCTTCTATTCCTATGGTCATAAATTGAAAAGACTAGATTAGACTGCTTATATATGGTATAATGGCTTGAAGGGGGCTATCCATAAGCATTTTAGAAATTAACAAATCAAACCATCAAGATCATAATTATTTTTCGGGTATAAAAGCTGAAATAGAACTTCTTCCAATACTTGTTTAAATTCAAAGTCAAGGTCATTTCCGTCAAATTCAAACTAACCCATAGCAGATACCCTAGTGGGTTTTCAGAGGCTGTAAGCTGTTTAGGAAGAGACTTCTTATCTTTCATCCTTGGAGCAGCTGGTGGATTCGAACTGCCTGCATTGGGTCAGCAACACACTTTATAACTACTAAACTATAGTTGTTAAATGAGACTATAAAAAGTCATGGAGATGTAAAACTTTCACAATACATTTCTCACATATAATAGAACTATTTAGTAAATGCGTAAGTTGTTGTTGTTAGATGCTGTCAAGTATGACTCATAGCAACCTTATAAACAACAGATCTGAGTCCTGTCCTATCCTGTGCAATATACTGCACCTCTGACATGCTTGAGTCCATTGCCACAGTTACTGTGTCAATCCATCTCATTGAGGGTTGCTCTCTCTCTTTTGCTTACCCTCTACATTTCTAAGAAGGATGTCTCCTTCCTCTTCTAACAACATGTTCCAAATTACATGAGACGAGGCTTCACCATCCTTACCTCTATGGAGCACTCTGGCTGCGTTTTCTCCAAGACATAACTGTTTGTTCTTTTGGCAGTCCATGGGATCTCGAGTACTCTTCTCTCTAACACCATAATGCAAAAGCATCTATCCTTCTGTTATTCATTGTTCGGTTCTCAGAGGCATAACAGTTGACTGAAAAGACCACAGTTTGAATCAGCAGACTTTGGTCTTTAAACTGAAATCACTGCTCTTCAGGACTTTGGAGAGGTCCCTGACTGCAGACTTTCTTAAAGCAGTATGTCTTCTGATTTCCTGACTGGTGGTACTAAGCTTGTTGATTGTGGACAGAAGTAAGATAAAACTGTTGACAAGTTCAGTCTTTTCTCCATATATCAGGATGTTGTTGCCTACTGGTGCAGTGGTAAGGATTTCTGTTTTCTTGATGTTGAGATGCAATCAATACTGAAGGCTGTAGTCCTTGACCTTATGCAGCAAGTGTTTCCAGTCCTCCTTGCTTTCAGCAAGCAAGGCTGTGTCATCTGCATAATGCAGGCTCTATGGAACACTAATCTTTGCAAGGTATGGTAAATATTCACTTTCCAGTTCCCACATTTGTCTTAAAGAATGCTGATAAATATACTATTGAAGACATACAAGCCATTCTCATTAATTCATGTTTCTGATTAATACTAAACTGACATCTTGATATTAATAAATATAATGCCTAATTAATTACTGGTATCCTAATAAACATGTAGGGAGCTCTGGTGACTTACTGGCAAGAAACTGCCCTGTCAACCCAGATGTATATGGTTGGAATCCACCAGCTGTTCTGTAGGAGAAAGATGGACAATCTCCTCTTGTGAAATTTACTGCCTCTGCAACCCACTGGAGAATCAACTATGGGCTAGTTCCGACTCTACGGCACATAACAGTGGCACAGTATTTAATGCAGTGAGCTACTAATGAAAGGCTGTTAAATCCACCAGTTGCTTCAGGAGGAGGGGAAGGGGCAGCTTCCTTGAATAAAGATTTATACCCTTGGAAACCTGATGGAGGGCTGCTGAGTCAGAATTGATTTAATGGCAATGAGGTTATTTTTTTGCTTGGTGGCAAAGTGGTTAAAGTGCTTAGCTTTTAAGTAGAAAGTTGGGTGGTTTAAATGCAAGAGGTGCTCATGGAAGAAAGATGTGGTGGCCTGCTTCCATAGACTTACAGCCCTGGAAAACCCATGGGGCAGTTCTATAGTTACAAAGGGCTGCTAATTCCAAATCAAATCAACAGTAGGCAAGTGTTCTCTTTAATTAAATAGTTGTTTTATCAAACCTTTCCCATACCAGTCATAGTTATATACATTAATACTAGAGGAATACTTGAAAAGATCTTTCTAGTACGGCTTAGTCCTTAATAGGAATCCATTCTAATTCTCCCTGTTGTCAGTAATTTCTGATTGAAGCTTAAGATTTCATTGTTTAAAAATGTTTTCATTATTATTTTCAAAGGTTTTATTATTATTGCTTTTTATTATCAGTATTTAGACATCTTTGTCTTTAGCAGCTCTGGTGGCCTAGTGACAAGAAACTGCGCTGCAATCCTGAAGGCACACAGTTTGAGGCCACCACCAGCTGCTCCATGAGAGACGGTTGGGCAATCTCCCCCCATGCGAGGGGACCTCTGAAAACCTGCCAGAGATCTGCTATGGGTTGGTTCCGACTCAACAGTAAACAAGAAAAACAACAATCTTTGTCTATAGCTATTAGAGAATTTACATCAGAGGATGAAAACATCAGTAAATTATGTACAGAAGAATGGAAATCCAAGTTCTTTATAAATGGTCATTAAAATCTAATAAAAAATAATCTAATAATCTAAAAAAAATTATGTACTGCAACACTATGAAACACATGCAGAAACATACACATACAGACTGTTTTAACTGTGGTTCATCTTAACTGGAATACATCATTAATTTGGGCTTCCCTGCATTTGTAAACCTCAACAGACTCACTCAGCAAAATTTCCCTTCACTTTTCCCCGGACTGGTATAAAGATAAAAATAAAGTTATTTAAAAATAAAGACGTATTTGGAACTAATTATTAAAATTACAACAGAGTCACTGTACCAGAAGGAATTGGTAGACACAGAAGAATTTCATGAAACAACTTACAAGCAAGAGCCTATGATGATGAAGGAAGAAGTTAAAGCTGCTTTCAAAGAACTGTCAAAAAATAAGACTCCAGGAATTAATGGTATAACCACTGACATATTTCAACTAACAGATGCTGTCCTAAATGTGTTCCCCAAGTTGTGTCAAAAAATTTGGAGCACAACCACTTGGCCAACTGACTGGAAGAGATCTCTATCTGTTCCCATTCCAAAGAAAGGTGACCCAACAGAATGTGGAAATTATCAAACAATATAGTTGCAAACGACTCGATGGCACATAACAACAACAACAACAACATATTAATATCACATACAAACAAGATTCTGCTGAAGATTAGCCAAAACAACTGGAACAGGACATCAACAGAGAACTGCCAGAAGTGCAGGCTGGGTTTAAAAGAAGTCGTAGTACTAGGGGATATTGTAGCTAATGTTAGATGGATCTTGGCAGAAAGCAGGAAGTACCAGAGGAACGTCTATCTGTGTTTCACTGATTATGCAAAAGCAAGTTTGTTGTGGATCACAACAAACTATGGCTAACTCAGAGAAGAATGGGAATCCCAGAACACTTGATTGTGCTAATGCAAAACCTATACTTGGAGCAGGAGACAATCGTTGGAATAGAGCAAGAAAACAATGCATGGTTCAAAATTGGAAAAGGTGTATGCCAGGGATGTGTCTTCTCCCCATACCTTTTCAATCTATATGCAGAACAAATTATCTGAAGACTGGGCTCAATGAGGAGAAATGTGGCACCAGGACTGGAGGACGACTCGTCAACAATCTGTGTTACGCAGATAATACAACCCTGCTTAATGAAACTGAGGAGGACCCGAAGTGCTTGCTGCAGAAGGTCAAGGACTACAGCCTTCAACATAGAGACTCAAAATCAAGAAAACAAAGATTTTCACCACTGGGCCAATTGGCAGCATCATGATGGATGGTGAAGAGACTGAAACTGTTAACAGCTTTAGTTTGCTTGGCTCCACAGTCAACAGTCTATGGCACCAGCAGCCAGGAAATCAAAAGACATATTGTGATGGTAAAGTCTGCTACTGGAGACCTCTCCAAAGTACTGCAGAGCAGTGATGTCACTCTGGAGACTAAGGCATGCTTGGTATAGGCCATGGACTTTGTAATCACTTGCTATGCATCAGAGAGCTGGACAATGACGAGGGATTATAGAAGAACTGATGTCTTTGAGCTGTGGTATATTGAAGAGTATTGAATATAGCATGGACTGCTAAGAAAACGAACAGGTTCTTCCTAGAGAGGGTTAAACCAGGCTGCTCCTTGGAGGCAAGGATTCTGAAGCTTAGTCTGACATACTTTGGACATTTTGCAAGGAGGAACCAATCCTTGGAGAGGGATATGCTTGGGAGGGTGAAGGGACAGTGCAGGAGAGGAAAACCCTCTTTGAGGAAGATGATTCAGTTACTGGGGTAGATGTGTCGGAGACAGTGATATTGGCAAGCACAGAGCGGGATTTAGGGCTGTTGTACATAGGGTCATTATGAATCACAGGCAACTTGACAGCACATAACAAAAACAGTGCATATTTATCAATATACAGAATTTAAAAACTTTAACAAGTAGTTTTTTGTAAGACAAAATTCATGATAGCTCCCGATCAAGGAAAACATTAGTCTTACCTTTTGGATCATTATGAGTCAATAGCTGTATATCAAACTGCTTAGCAAATGCAGTCAAATCAGGTGGCATCACACAGCAGGAGGCAAGATTAACTTGGTTACTATTTGGTTTTACCTAGATGTGTAAAAAAAAAAAAATCATTTATCTCAACCAAATGAAGTAATTAAAAACATGAAGTGATATAGTAATGGTAGAATGTTTCGGAACTACAAAGAGGTGACAGATGCACAACATATGACTATACTACATGCCATTGAATTATGTACTTTAAAATTGTTTAAGTTACATGAGTTTTACCTTCTTGTAACTTAAAATCAGCAGAAAAAAATAGGTTTTAAAAAAGCAGCAAGCAATTAGTTAATTTTATAACATGCAAAATCACTCTCTATCTCAGAGTTTAGGAACTTTTATTTATTTATTAATTTACTTATTAATTTAATTAAATTAACTACTTAATTTACTTATTTATTTATTAAATTTATTTATTTATGTGTGATTTAAAAACTCATTACTGAAGACAGGGAACAGAAAAATAGCACCAGCACAGGAAAAAAAGCCAATTCAGTATCCCATTGTTAAAAAGTCTCCCACTGGAACCATTCTGCCAATCTAATACATTTACCTAGGAAAACAAACACTTCTAAGCAGGATGGCTTATGATAGAGAATCACGTCTATGGTAAATATATTTAAAATTAAACAACTATAAAATACAGCTTACTAAACAGGCACATTTATAAAAAGAAAAGAAATAAATAACTTCCGATAACTGTACTGGCTAATCTGTATAAACAGTCTAGATCACCCAAATCTCTCCACACCAATTTTGACCACACTCTGGCTATCTCAGAGTCAGGAGACTTTATTCTTCCTGTTCATAAGAAACTCTGGCTTCACAATGAGACAGCTGGGGATAAATGAAAAGAAAAACAATGGTGTAATACTAGCGAAAAACTCCTCCAATGATTCTGTAGGTTATTTAACTAGAGTCCATGTGATTTATTCCACTTACTCATACCAAATTTTATGAATTAAGAATACTGCAATTCTAACTTAACTGTCAGTAATATCTGAGCGAATACTTATGTGTGTTATTATTCCCTTATGATATTAGAGCCACTGCCTAGTAAGATCTTAAAAAGAAAAAAAAAAGAGGAGTGGCATTTATCATTACATATGTAAAACTGAAGGGCACAGTCTTGATTCATTTAGCTATGAAGGTTTTCATACATTTTCTAGTGTGTTTGGTTACTTGCTTTAAATGAGACTGTTAAATTTTTTAAAAGTAAATTAATAGTTAAACATAATTTAGATAAAGCCAACCTCTAAAGTCCTTCACTTAAAATAGTCCCCCCACAGTGAGTATCCATGACACACTCAACATCTCAACCAACAGAGACTGCTGAGGTGGCTCCTCTCTGGGGCTCGCCATCTGTCTTCTCTTTACCTGTGCCCACTGGTACAGCTGCTCCAATTGTGTTTTGTCTAGATCAGAGGTACCTATAGCAACAATCTTTTTGCTTTGAACTAAATTTTCTAATTCCTCCCAGTAAGGCTGTAAATGCTCCAAGGAAAGATTAACTCCATCTTCAATAGGAGGTGAAGCAATGATCACAGAATCCAGGTGTGCAACTCCAAGGACAGAACAGGCTAATGTGAGGGGAAAAAACACAAAAAGGACAAACATTTGTTACATAAGCAAGCACTTCTGTGGTACTCAAAGCTCTCTCCATCAAATGTTCCCCAAGCATCCCACTGAATTCTGCACATATTTTTCATTGGTTTTCTTTATAAATTATTTTATTCAGTTTCATAATTTAACACTCCCTGAGAACTTTTCCAGCATTATAAATGTGTTAAGCTTCCTTTCATCTGACTGCTATGTGTAGCAGATAAGTGAGTTTCTCTGACCTGCCTTCTTCCTAAGCAACACATAGCTATTACAGGTTCTTCTTTCTGGGGAAGTGGTTTCCTTTTCATTTCCCAAGTCCCAGGATTTTTTGGTAGCTTCCTATCTCCCATCTCCAGTATCTATGTTCTCACAACTATGGGTAACCATAAAATTCAGGCAACACTGTGGTGTAACTAGGTTTTTTTGGTTGTTATATGCCATTGATTGACTATAACCTATAGAGACTCTATACACAATAGATCTGAACCATGCTCTTATCCACCTAAAAATAAATTTGAGAATCTGAAAAGCTGAAATTTATAATCTAATTTTATATTTATAGAGGCACAGTTCTTAATATCTATAAAAGCAATGAGTTAATTTTATATAATCATTGATCATTCCACAGATTTGTTGTTATTGTGTTGTCAAGCTGGAATTGACCCACAGCTGAGCCTGCCAGCAGGTTTTCAGAGGAAGTTAATTTCACAGAAGGAGACTGCCCATCCTTCTTCCACAGAGCAGCTGGTGGATTCAAATTGTGTACCTTTGAGATTGCAGTGCAGCTTCTTACCATTAAGCTACCAGAGTGCCACAGATTTGTTGTTGCTGTTATGTGCCATCAAGTTGCCTGTGACCCATAGCAACTCTATGGATGGCAGCTCTAAACCATGCCCTGTCCTGAGCCATTCTCAGTAATTTCTGACGCCACTGCTCCAGTTACTGTATCAATCCATATCATCAGGGTCTCTTCTCCTGCACTGTCCTTCCACCCTTCCAAGTATGATGTCCTTCTCCAAGGATCGGTCTCTCCTGGCCATGTGCCCAAAGTATGTGAGATGGAGCTTCAAAATCCTAGCCTCCAAGGAGAGACTTGGTTTCATCGTCTCTAAGATAAACCAATTTGTATTCTTGGCAGTCCATGGTATGTTCAAGACTCTTCTCTAGCACCACAACTCGAAAGCATCTATTTTTCTGTCATCCTTAGTCACTGTCCAACTCTCTGAAGCATAACAAGTAATTGAGAAGAACATGGCCTGAGTTAGGTACACCTTTGTATCTAGGCTGACATAGTTGCTCTTCAGCACTCTGGAGACAGAAGATTCTCCCCATGCAATTAATCGTTTGATTTCCTGACTGCTGGTGTTAAGAGTGTTGACTGTGGATCCGAGCAAGCTGTAAGTGCTAACAACCTCAACCACTTCTCCATATATGATGGGGCTGCCAAGTGGTCCAGTGGTTAGAATCTTTGATGTTGAGCTTCAATTCATATTGAAGACTATAGTCCTTGACCTTTTGCAGCAATTGTTTCAGGTCTTCTTCAGTTTCAGCAAGCAAGGTTGTGTCATCAGCATATCGTAGGCTGTTAATGAGTCCCCCAATCTTGAGGCCACACTCCTCCTCATAAAGCCCTGATTCCCAAATGATCTGTTCTGCATACAGTCTGAAAAGGTTATGGGGACAGGATGCATCCCTGACACACTCAGACAGACATTCCTCTGGTACTCTTTGCTTTCTGCCAAGACCCACATAACATTGGCAATAATGTCTCTAGTGCCAGGACCTCTTCTAAACTCAGCTTGTATTTAGGAACCAATTCTTTAATTTTTAACATATATAAACATTGTATGAATGTTTTAAAAGAAAATGTATTGAATAACCCTGGTATCTAATAACAATGCTGATAACAGACATATTTTTGAGAACTTACACCACCAAACATAAAACCAATAGTTACATTTACATGTTATATTTATTATGTTCCTCTTACGTATCAAAATATGATCCTAGGGGTAAGAAGTCACTCTACAATCCCAAAGCATGTGGTTCAAATCCACTAGCTTCTCCACAGAAGAAGGATGGGCAATATCACTCCTACAGTTTACTGCCTCTCCATACCCATTGGTGGGTCAGCTATGAGTCAGTTACAACTTGACGGAACATAACAACATCAAAACACTTTTGTAAAAAATTAGTTAGGCTAGAACTTTAAAAGGTGAAATTGGAGTAATTAAAATATTTTCCATTAATTTTTTTTTTAGTTTTTAATTTTCAGAAAAATTATTCTCATAGAGTGTCCACATACATCTTTTCCCCTACAGTTTCTCTTTTAGTAACATTTTTCACTGATGTGGTACATATGTTATTAATGATGAACCAATATTGTTATGTCATTATTAACTAAAGTCCACAGTTTACACAGAGTTCACTCTGTGCATTATAATTACATGAGATTTGACAAACACATAATAAGGTCATTGTCTAAAGAGGAGAAAACAGGACACAGGCGCAGCACACCATCAGCATCTTTCTGAAAGTACTGGAGGGAGTAAGAATAGCCTCAGAGTAGAAAGCAGATGAAGAGCCCACAGCCCAACCCCATGGTGCCTCTAGAGCACCACCAGCAGCACAAAGCTCATTAATTCACTGTTGACTAACAGCAGTGGTACGAAAAAAGAGGTTTACTAGGGAAGCAAGTTGAAGACTGGGGAGGCAAAGAATATCTCACAGTACAAGTCCTAGTTTATCTCAACTGTCATAAGGCAAAATTCTTCAATTAGTCCAGGCCCTAGTTTCAGTTCAGCAGCCAAATCCAAATCGTTCAGCAAGGTTTGCCAGAGCAGTTGTAAGTCAGGTTCTCCTTCAAGTATCCAGCAAGAAAAGCACCTTTAACTGTGGCCAGTACAAATGGAAGTCCTCAGGTCACACCTTGCCACAGTTTCTCCATAGCAATGTGATAGTCTTTTCCCATCAGGGTTTTGCTCTCACAAGGTCTTGCTGCCATAAGCCTTGTTCACCTCAAGTCTTGCTTCCCAGTGTGGGAAGCAAGCCTTGTTCACCTCAAGTCTTGCTTCCCAGTGTGGGAAGCAAGCCTTGTTCACCTCAAGTCTTGCTTCCCAGTGTGGGAAGCACTTTTTCTCTTATTTTAGTCTCACAGCTGCTGATAATTTGCAAGACCACGGTGATTTCCAAGACCACACATCTGCAGTTAAGGTAGCTGGAGACCAGAGGGGCTAATAATAATGACTTTAAAAAGGCCAACTTTTAGGCTCACACCGTAGTTATATATCCATTAAAAAAGTATCATGCAGAACAGTTTCACTGTCCTCAATAAGTGACTTCTGCTTACTTAATCATCTCTCCTCCCTGTGAAAGATGATTTTTACTACATAGTTTTGCTCATTTTCTTTTCTATCTAGACATAGGTTATAACTAATATCTATACTAATTTAAAGCCTACTACTTAGGAACCCAGGAGCCTTAATGCCACAATAGTTAAGTGCTCAGCTGCAATCACTCTACCAGAGAAAGATGAGGCTGTCTGCATCCATAAGGATTTATATTCTTAGAAACTATACAGAGCAGTTCTACTGTGTCCATAGGGTACCTATGAGTATTTGAACTCACAAGTACTGGTGATGCAATAGTGAAACAGTAAACTGCTAACCAAAAGTTTGGCAGTTCAAACCTACCAGATGTTCTACGTTCAAGCTCACGAGGATGTAGCAGTCATGAAAACTATATGATGCCATGGGGTAGTTCTATTTTTTTTTACCCTTTGTGGCTGCAATGAGTCAAAAATCAAAGGATACAAATATAGAAATTTAAATGTTGGCTTACCCATGTCAATTGCATTTCTAGTTGATGATGAAGAGTTTGATCCTACAATAAACAGTTTTGCTGTGTAAAAAAGAAAACAAAACTGATTAATGATTCTAAATTTGGGAGCACATTTAATTACTAAATTCAGTACTGTTAGAGCTAAAAATACTAAGATGGCAGATAATCCTGAATGAGTTTTTCTTTCTTTTTTTCTTATTCACATAATCTCACAGACTGTATTTCAGACATAAGTGTAATTTCACTGAGACTCTTTAATTATATTCTAGTTGCCAAAAATAACTGTTTGTCAAAACAAGTAAATACTAATCTCATTTATTAATAAGCAAATCAGATATATACACAAAGAAATTAAAGTACTAAAATGTGCATTTTAACTAGTCAAACACTAATGGAAAATAATGTTTTGTCTAATTAAAACATATATAAAGCTTCAATTAAAAGGGTTCATATAAAAAAATGAAAAGAATGCATAACCCCACTTTCTTTACATAATCTTCATTTTGAAACATTATCTTCTAGAGAATGAATCAGAGAATAGTATTTTTCTATTTTTATTTGGCTTAGCTTTATGGAATGATATTTAAAAATTATTTCTATGGGGGGAGGGATTATATAACAATGAAAGAATTTTTTTTTTTACTTTTCAAAGAGAAGAGCGAACTCGGGGGGAGAGAAGGGAAGGTAGGGTGAAAAGTCCAACAATAAATGAATGGAAATCCTCAGTCTCTGTAAACTTGCATTAAAATTAATAAAAAAATTTAAAAAGTTATTTCTGTACAGTATTCAATTTAAACTTTTTATAATAATAATAATGTACTAAGCACAAAGTAACTATGGTTTAGCTTCTGTATATTCTGCTTTTAAGGCATAAATATTTACATATTCATTTCTAAGGATTTATATATAAATTTCTAAGAATTGAAAATATTCTAAGGGGTATTTACATATTCATTAAAATCAATCTGCAATTTTGATGGGAGATATCTTTCTAAATTATTTTTGCTAACTGAATAAATATATAGGTTAGTTTAAATTTCTATTACCACATATAATGCTATTTATCTTGAATAATTTTTGTTCAACTTCATGTTGAATCATTTTTCAAGAATAAATTAACAAGATGCAATTATGGGTTATCAGTCTTTTTCTTGTGGAGGCCCTGTAGTATTCTGTAAACAGTGTATGGAAATGATTATATGAAACATAATGTCAATGAAGGAAAGTGTGAAACACACAAAACCTCCACTATGTACATGAATGAAACACAATATATATGAAGAATTATATGCATGCCAATAAAAAAAACCAAACAAAAAAAAATATTTTAGAAAAAACCCAACACAAAACCAAACCAAACCAAACCAAAAACAAAACAAAACAAAAACCAACCCAGATGGATAACCAGTAAGATGTGTATGGATATCCAAAGAAGGAAGGAGAGGGGGCAAGTGGGCTGGGGTGGGAAAGAATCATGGGGCTGCAAAGTCAGGTGGCTAGAGATAGGGATTAAAAAAAATGCACACGAATGAAACACAATAAAAAAAAATCTTACAATGCAATTATGAGTCAAAGGATATGGTCTTTTTTTCTTAAGTCTTTTATTTACCATCCTATTTAATAAAAGATTTGCTCTCCCGCCCTGGGCCACTGGGAGCTAAAAGTTGCTTTCCCAACAAAATAGGATGCTATTCTTAAAATATATCAATATTTGGGGAGCTCTCGTGGCCTAGTGGTAAGGAGCTGCAACTACAATCCCAGAGGCGCACGGTTCAAATCCACCAGATGCTCTGCCGGGGAAGGAGGGACAATCTCCTCCTGTACCAGTCAGATCTGATTTGACGGTACACTCACACAAAAATAATAAAATAAAAAGAAAAATATATCAATATTTGCTAATTTAGTTGGTACAGTATACTGGAACATTAATTGGTGGTTACCACCAAAGGTGAATACAGTAACTCCCTGAGTTACAAACATTTGGCTTATGAATAATTTGTATTTGCCCCTTAATAACACATAAATTTGCACTCATTTAGAAACAACTGAAGCAACCCCCTACTCAGAATAAATTCTTCATCCAATTATCTTCACTTGCTGCATGTGAAATTTTAAGTCAGGCTTGGGGGTGGAGGGACAGCACAAGAGAGGAAGACCCTTGATAAGATGGACTGATTCAGTGACTGGGGAAATGGAGGTAGATGTGTCAGAGACAGTTAAGATTGGCACAGGACAGAGCAGGGGTTAGGGCTGTTGTACATAGGGTCGCTATGAGTTGCAGGCAACTAGACAGCATATAACAACAACAAAAGGCTTCACGGTTTTTCTTGCACTAAGTCAAGGCTAATTAAGAACACCATCTACCTGTTTCAACTTACCTACAAATTTGACTTAAGCTACACTTAGAAACAGATCCCCACAGAATACCTGTAGTTTTCTAGATTTAGGGAGCTCTGGTAGTCTAATGGGTTTGAGGTTTTGTAGTTTAATTTTAAATTCAGTTTTATATATTTACTTTATGTAAATTTACTGTTCAAAAATCTACCAAACAGGTAAATAGTTGAAGACATTGGAAATCAAGAAAAGTAAAATTCAAAAAGAAAAATAGAATTAGGGTAAATGAAATACTTTTTTGTAAAGTGCCTGGCATTCAACATGCAACAGAATTTCTCTGAATGATGTTTCTTTTGTCTGTCTTGTGTATTCCATTACTAAAAAAAGCTTCCTACAACACTGCTTTCCTTATTCTATTTCCCTACTTAAAAACCATCACAGTGTTCTTATCAAATAACCAGACCACCCCTTTGGGTCCAACCTTACCTCCCAATTCTCCTCTTTGAGAAATGTTCCCTTCCCATTCTTATTCTTCTGCCTACGAATTTGTGTCATCTGAATTGGCCACCTTTTTTAGGTAAGTAGGGAGATGAATGTTTTTTTAATAAGAGAAGGCTTTTGATGCTTAGAAAAAACTACAAGATCTACCAGAAATGGAGGGAGCTCTGGTGGCCTTGTGGTGAGAAGCTGGATTGCAATCTCATAGGCAAGTGGTTCAAATTTACCATCTGCTCTTGGGAGAAAGATAAGGAGTCTTCTTCTGTGAGATTTACTGCCTTAGAAAACCTGATGGAAGGTCAGCTATGGGGCAGTTCTGACTCAAAAGCAAACAATTACAACAACTAGAGTTGGAAGACAACTTATCAGAGATCCAAAAGAGACCTAGATCATGATGAGCTGCAATCAACGATGGAAAAAATGTTACCTCTGGATTTTGGAGTTAAGCAAACTTGCATTCCTGGTTCAACCATTTACTAGCTACCTGGACGACAACTTCTAGCTGCCGCAATAGGCTCCACACAAGGTTGTTTTGAGAATTTTATGAGAAAATAAAACCATAAAGTTCCAACTACAATACCAGTCACACAACAAGACACAATAAATCATTATTGTTGGTGGATCCTGTCAACAATGACTCAGACCAACACAATGACCAACTATCTGAATCCTGCCCTTGCTGTCCTCACCATCCCTGATGTTTTTGAGTCTACAGCTATAGTCACTGTGTTGAGGGTCTTCCTCTCTTTCTCTGACCCTCTAATAAATTTCTAGTGTCAAAGACAATGCTCCATCTCATCTTAAAAATCTATCCCACTAGTAATAAGAGTAGTAACTATAACCAGGCCACTAGATTAAAGTTCTTGCACGTCATGGATTGGACAGTGTACCTCTAAATACATGTAGGGGGCTCCGGTGCCACAGTATGAAAGGAGTCAAGCTACTAAACAAAGGCCCAGTCTCTAGCTGTTTGAATCTACCAAGGGTTCCCCGGAAGAAATAGAGACAATTTACAGCCCCCCCAAAATAAATGGAGAGTTGGCTATGGGTTAGTTCTGCTCTAAAAGCAACAAACCTGGGGATTAGGTTGTTGTTTTTAGAAAATGCATATATGTAGTGCAGATATTACATAATGATTCCCCATGGTCTCAAAAACCAAGAAGAGGTTAGAGGATCAAAAATGAGATATGGTTGCTAATGTGCTGTCAAGTTGAAACTGACTCAGAGCTGATGCTTTAGCAGGTTTTCAGAGACTAATTCAGTGGGAGGAGACTGTCCATCTTCCTCTCCTGGAGCAGGAGGTGAATTCCAACAGCATGCCTTTGTGCTGGCATCACAACTCATTACTAAATCCTTAATCCCATTCCAGCCCTGATCCATGCAAGGAAACTTTCCTCAGGATGTGGCCTGTAACACCATTTATAAGATATAAAAGAAAGCAAGTAGAGATAGGATCTCAGGATCACCATGACAGAAGCACTGAGAAGGCAACATGTATTCTGGACCCAGATCTTTCTGCTGGGAAGCTTAACAGAGACAGGCCAAGATATTTGGAACTCTCCAATGCTGTACCTACAGCTATAGGCAGATATAAAGATTTCCTTTCAGAAGCTCCAGAGAGAGAACACTTTCTCTAACACAGTATCCTGAATTTAGACTTCTAGGCTCCCAAATTGCAAGGAAATAAATATATTGTCATCTACTTGTAGTATTTTTGTTACAGCAACAGGTAATCAAGACATTCAGTGACTGAGTTGTTCAATACAAGAGAGAGAAAAATGCTGCTTCTCATTCTGAAAAAAAAAATCTCATGGTAACACTTTTACTGTATAACAAAATAAACTATAAAAGCTGCACTTTACCAGAAACTTTCATTTCTTCTCTTTCATCAGGATTTATCTTTTCTAGCGCATGAGATACAGTACATTCCAAGACATCTGGAAACTCCTGTAATGAACATATGAGATTTAGAATAAATATAAAAGTAAATGTTTCTGATGAACCATAGTATTTTTATTATTGATAAAGCCCTTCACTATAGAAGCATGGAATTCATAACAGGGTTCTTCCCCTGGGATTTAAATGGGTTTCACACAAAGTCTGAGAAACTCTGAATGAAAACACTGCATGTGTTCATTTTTCTAGGGGGTGAAAAAGGTGTCCCATTTTGATTAGGTACGTAGAGCAATGCATGATCAAAATAACAATGACAAAAATAAAAGGGATGGGTACGCAGGAGTTTGAAATACTATCACAATACATAATTTTATTTAGAAAAATCATTTGAGGTGAAAATTTTTCTACACATTAATGGCAAGATTGAATCCAAGTTAAAAGTTCCATGACGTCCTCACATTACAATGCCTCAAGGGTTCAGGACAAGTTGATAAATCATGTATAGAATAACTGGCAATTTCAGAGAAAAACAACTTGCAACGAATATCTGACTAGAAGATAGAGTTGCAATGTCAGGGGGGAGCAAGTCTTTCCAGTACATCTTGCCCACATTAAAGCAAAGCAGTCAATATCATTTATTATGAGCCTTTATGGGTTTCCCCCCAAGACTTCAGCTTTTTTTAATTGAACATGTTACAAAAAGAGTTTCGTGAAAATGACCAAATCTCATGTTATCATCAGACTCTTCAGATTCTTCTTTGCTTCTACTTTCTTCTCCTCAGCTGGAGCAGCAGCAGCAGCAGCAGGAGGGGGGAAGGGGGTCCTCTAGTCAGTTTGGCCCCAGCCACTGGGGCAGGTCCACCAGCACACGAATTGCAGATGGGGCTTCCAATGTTGACATTTACCAGGGTCTTTGCAAACAGATCGGGCCAGAAAGGTTCAATATTGACACTGGCTGCCTTAATGAGGGCACTGATGAGGGCCAACTAGATGCAGGAAAGTTCAGAGACTGAGGCTATGGTGTAGTGGTGCTAGGCTGACAGCTGTTGGGTGCAGTGATGCTAGGCTGATGGCTGCTGGGTGCAGTTCTAGTCACCAGAAGAAGTCAGGGCTTCACCCCCATGCAGCCTTAGCTTCCTTGGTAAAATGGATCCCACGGGGTAGTTTACAGGCAAATGTTTTATATATTAACATTTATAGTAAAAGACATATACTAACATTTAAAGAATGTTGCTGTTGATTGCCATTGTGTCAAGCATGACTCACAGTGACCCTATGAACAAAGGACCTGAAGCCTTTATATAACTATCGTTGTTTATCTTTAAGTTCACAGAGTTCCAGAGGCATGTTGTTTAGGAAGTGGATGCCACTCCTGCGTCCAATAAAGAATGTTATACTTTTTCTTTAATGTTACATTTTTTAATTGTTTTATCAGAAAGTGCCATTCTCAAAATGATTTCTTAGACTGTAGCACTACATGATAGTCTACTAAAAGCAGTCTACCAACCCACTGTGCTCTGCTACACCAAACAGAAACTGGAGCAAAGTACCAGTGGTGAGGAAACTATGACAGGAATTAGAAACAGAGAATCTAGTCAAGCTGGTAAGTTGACTGTTAAGAGTTCAGATTTTCTATTTTATGCTGAGGTCAACTGATCAGACTGCCATCTCTTCAGATCAGTTACAGAAAGTTCACTAGGCCAACTGTCTACTTGACTTGCCTAACAAATCTGAGGAAATTAACTTCTGCTTACTTCATTTCACTTCTAACTCATGTAAGGTTTGCATTTGAATTTCACTTACCCTGATCAATTCTGGGCTGATTTGGGAACTCCATTCATTCAAAGTCTTCTGGATACAATCTCGGAGCTAGGGAAAAAAAGATATTTGGGGATAGTTAAATTCTTTATCGTTTTTTGTACATCTACAATAAGAATGTATTGGTTTGAGAAGCAAGGAAAAGAAGCTATGAACAGAAAAGGTCATACAAATAAAATTTAATTTTCCAAAGTTTTTGGTTCCTTCAATATTAAGTCAGATTTATTTTTACTTTATTCTAAATCGCAGACTCAAGCATTCTAAATCTAAAGCCTAATTATTTTTAAAATGCTACTATAGATTACCAATCTGAATTATGCAGATGACACAACCCTTCTTGCTGAAACTGAGAAGGACCTGAAGTGCTTGCTGCAGAAGGTCAAGGACGCAGCCTACAATATGGATTTAGGCTCAATACAAAGAAAACAAAGATTCTCACCACTGGGCCAATTGATAGCATCATGATAGATGGTGAAGAGATTGAGACAGTTAACAGGTTTAGTTTGCTTGGCTCCACAGTCAACACTTGGCACTAGCAGTCAGGAAATTTAAAGACATATTGTGATGGGGAAGTCTGCAGTTAGAGACCTTTCCAAAGTACTGAAGAGCAATGATGTCGCTCTGGAGACTAAGGTGTGCCTGATGCATGTCATGGTCTTTGCAATCACTTGCTATGTGTCAGAGAGCTGGACAATGACTAGGGATGATAGATGGAGAATTGATGCCCTTGAGCGGTGGTGTTGGGAGTACTGAATATACCATGGACTGCTAAGAAAATGAACAGGTTCATCTTAGAGAGGGTTAAATCAGGCTGCTCCTTGGAAGCTTTGGTTGACATATTTTGGACATGTTATAAGGAGGGACCAATCCTCGGAGAAGCACGTCATGCTTGGGAGGGTGGAGGGACAGCGCGGGAGAAGAAAACCCTCTATGAAGTGGAAGATTCAGTGACTGAGTTAGTTGGGGTAGGTGTGTCAGAGATGGTGAGACTGGCACAGAAGAGAACAGAGTTTAGGGCTGTTGTACTATGAGTCATAGGCAACTTGACAGCATATAACAACAACACTATACCAATAAAAATTTTTAATAACTATGAAACAAAAGCATTCACAAAGAAAAACTTTTTCAAGGACAGTGTTTTGTAAAAATAAAATCTATAGCAATATACTCAGAATTCTGAGTTGACAGTTTTTTTAACTAATTGAGAGTGAGGCATAGAAGGATTAAATCTTTTTTTTAAAAAGATAGAGTTTATAAACAGAGGAATGTGGAGTTAAAGATCAGACTAGGATTTATATGAACACTACTATGCTATGTCCCTTATCAACAAATGACTCAAGAACTGTAATCTCCTATATCAGACACACAGTGGAACTGATTTTAAAATGTAAACTTCTGAGCCCTATCCTAGATCTGCTGAAGCTTTTGCATTTTAACAAGTGATGACTCGCTCTGTAATGTAAAGTCTGAGAACCACAGGCATACAAATATTGTAGAAATTAACTTGCACAATGCCACACTACAAGTAACTTCATTTTAAAAAAAAAATGGAATACTTTATGAATTTGCATGTCATCCTCAAGCAGGGGCCATGCTAGTCTTCTCTGTATCATTCCAATTTTAGTGTATGTCCTGCTGAATGAAGCAAGCACCACAAGTAACTTCTTAACATATAAGTACACCTCAAACCAGTGTACAATGTTTTAATGAAACAATTTTTCACACTACCATCACAGTAAGTTACAAATAAAATGATTTATTAATGCATATTTTTATTAGCAGTATATTTAAAACTTATTTAATAGTGGTCTAAAGTGAAACATACTGTTGTCATATGCCACGAAGCCAGAACTGACTCACAGTTGACCCTCCATAGGATTTTCAGTGGCTGTATACCGCACAGGAGAAGACTGCCCACCTTTATCCAATTGAGCAGCTGGTGTATTCTAATCACCTGCCTTTGAGTTGGCAGTGCAACTCCTTGCCACTGGGCCACCAGAATTCCTTAAGATTCACATAATTAGTCAACAAATACACATGCACACACACACACAAAATTCACATAAAATGAAACAAAAATTTAAAAAACAGATTTTTACTATTATTATATTTCAGTTACACCAACAGCTCCTATTAAATCGATTAAAAAGATTATGCTGCTGTTCCATGACTGATTTAACTACTGATGACCAACATTAGCAGTCTGAAATCATTGCCTTATAAATAGCCATAGTACTTTGCATCCTGTGTGAGATGAAAAAGGAAATTATTAGAAGCACTTTCCTAACAACAACTCACTCTCTAAACTATGATTGCTTATGATGAAAATTGATACAAGAGTACTATATTGCTTTTAACTTAGTATAGAAAATTAGAAAAAGTCACATATCAGTTTTTTTTTTTTCACATATCAGTTTAAGTACACAGCTATCTATGGTTAAGATTTATAATCCACAACATTAATTTTATGTTCTTTGTGCAATAACCTACTCAAGAGATAAGCCCTCTTTACTTATGGCAAGTCTATTTATAGTCAATTTTAAGTGTGGAGATAAAATGATTTCATAAGCATGACTGACAGAATTGTAAGTTGTTATGCTTTTCAAATTAGTAAAAGTTGAGGTAACAAGGCCCACCAGAAATGAACAATTCTCCCATCACAGAGAATCTAAGAACTTTCCTCTGGGAAGAATGGTGCACTTTGCATGTCGACTTTCCTGATGAATTTTCCAGTTCAGGACATTAAGTATATTTTCAGAATATTTTACCCTCTCTTAAACTATTTAATTCTGGATTCTTGAAGATGTCAGGACATGTCAAAGAGCAGTGCAATGTTACTAAAATTACAGAAGAAATTCACTGGCCATGTATAACAAAAGGAGCCCTGCTGGCACAGAGGCACAGTTAGCCCAGCTGCTACCAGAAAGGGTCAGCAGTTTGAACTCACCAGCCACTCCAGAGGAGAAAGCTAAGGTAACACGCTTCCATAAGGATTATAGCCTTGACTCTATATGTGGCACTTCTATTCTATTCTACGGGGTCACTATGAGTCAGCAATGACTCAACAGCGATGGAAATGGCATTTTATATATCACAAACCTAATGTCTATTAAACTTTTACATTTTATCTATATTGAGTACACAATAACTTGCATTTTTTTGGTTCTCTGCTCACTTCATTCTCAACATACACAGATCAGTTCACTGAAGTATCACCACAATTTAGTGCGTCATTAGATCAGGAGTTGTTTAAGTCTTAAAAGTAGCACATGATTCAACTGATCAAATTCCTGCACAACAAACATCAATATTTAATTTCGTAATTTTCTGCCAAGAGTGAAAAAACTGAAAACTCAAAATAAAAATGTTAGAACCAGAGTTGTTGTTGTTGTTATGTGCCATCGAGTCGTTTGCGACTCATAGCAACCCTATGCACAACA